CTGACTGTGCTGCGGATTACTAAGGGGTCACGTGATGCGTCACATGATGACTTCGGGGTTTCTGATCACGTGATGTCACGTGACTCAGACTCGAGGATTCGTCACGTGACTTCCGATCACGTGTTCAGGACTTGGGTTCGAATCTGTTGCAGGTGGTTATTTCTTGTGGTAGCATTTGGTGTCATGACGGTTCATGACAGTGGCCAGGTACCTGGACTTCTTTAATTTGGCACCCTCCCTGCCAAAATATTCATATCTTGATAAGGGGATCCCACAAAAATATGAAAAGTATCTCAAATGGAAGCTGATCAAATGGTCCACCCACCCATTGTCACTATAATATAGCTTAGCCTGGTAGATCATGTAAAATACCATTGTTTTATCCAGGGTGGCTGGGTACTAGGTCTAGCACAGTATAGTGCTATATACAAACTACAAAGACTATCTATACTATCGTGCACAAGCTACATCTATGATGGCTATAGTAACTATATATGTTTTGAGGCTACAAATGTGCTAAGATTGACTTATGTATTTACAAAGAAATGTGTTGCTGTGTGGCACAGTGTGGGTGGGCGTCAGGAGGGGGCTCACGGCTGTGTCAGCATCGGTGTTGGCAGCCTCCTTCTTTGGTGTGTGCCGAGCCCCCTCCTCCATGGTGGGAGAAGGAGGAGGAGGTGACGAGGGGATGAGGTGGATTATTCCAAATCAGGGGTGAGGGTTAGCTACTGGAGTCACAGAGCTTGCCAAAATTACCCGAGATTTTTTTTGTTGAAAATGGCACACCCCAAGGTTAAGTGAATACACTGTAAGAGGCACACTCTTGTGAAGACATAAACCCAATTCATGAACCCATGGCCAGGTAGCTCAATAGGTAGAGCACCTGGTATATATCTAGAAGGCCTGGGTTCAACCCCCAGTCTGGCCAATCAACACTTTGCATAGGCTTTAACAGGTCTGAACCATCAACCTGAACCCTTGAAAATGGAGGGTCTTTTGTGCTAACACCAACTGGGCTTGATGCGGTGTGCTGCCATCAATGGTACACAATGGTGTGTGGATAAGGAAAAAAAAACGAAACACCATTGTCATTTCAATATCCATTCTAGTGGGCAAGTCCCTCTTGTGCCATTTCCGGACGTTTTTTTGTCTCATTCATGTTCCCGATGTCGATTTGGACCGCAGCATCAACGCACATTTCCCCGCCGACCTATACACAACTGCTACAACAAGAACTACTTATGGTACTTCTATGCACATATACTGTATTGTCCTAATGCTTCGTTCGCTCTACATACAATCTCCGTACTGAATTAATCACAACATGGCTCCGCCACCTTTGGCTGTGAACGGCACCGAAACAAATGATACGTGGACCAGCCTAAGGTTTCAAGGTGCGTAAACTAATTCTCGTCACTGTTCGAGGGACTATCCTCGTCGCTGGGGTCCTGATCTGACTCGCCAACACCCCATGTTTCGGGCTCGCCGGTACAGTCGACTGGCCCCGATGATAGAGTGTTCAAGATCGCAAGCTGCTGCGGCGTGATGTGACAGTCGACGAGCGCGATAACCGGAACAGTCCGTTCTAATTCCAAGCGTCTCGTTAGAGCACGCTTCAAAGTGGAGAAGAGTTCCGCGTCCCCAAGTGGAAATGAGAAGTGGGCGTGATTGATTGTCAGAGATGTAAGGTTGGGCAGGACGATCGTGCTGGCCCCACTGGGTGATGACACGTTCGTGGCGCGCGCATCGCAGAAGGCATTTGCAAAACCATACGTATAACCGCCTGACAGCACGACCGTCTCGACGCGAGATAAACGAGGTACGATCTCGAGCCACTCTACATCCCCTGTGTGATCCTCACGGGTTTTCCGCGAGGCACTGAACTGTACGATTCGCCCCAATGGGAGTTCGGAAAGAAGGTTTTCGAAACCTGGGGGAATCTCCGCGATATTGGGCGGACTCGAGGGCTGCCATATCAATGAGAGGAAAAGACTGAACTCCCCGGCATCTACGACAGGGCGAGCGGTGATTGCTATGGCGTTGTCGTATAACCGATCTATAGATGCAAAGTAGGGCGATTCTTGCCTCTCGAGCTGACTAAAACTAGAGGATATGACGCTTGCTAGAGGGGGGACTGCCAACGTGACTTCGGGGATATGCCAACGTGTGACTGCTTTCAGAGTAACGAGCCTACAATGTGGCATGATAAAATGACGCATGACGTTCGCGCAATCTAGGACGAATCCCGTAAGCGAGAGGTAAAACAAGTGTTCGAGCTTAAGTGGGGCGATATCCGTGGGAGGGAGTGTTCTGAGGCTAGAAGGGAGCTCGGCAATCGCGTGAATGAGCGCAAGCTTTTCCAACTTGGTCATTGTTTGTAAGAGAGAAAGAACATTTTCTATGGATGGCCTAGACGCCATGGGGATGTCCTGGAGAACCAAAGAAGTTAAGTTTGCAACCGAGGAGAACTTCTGCCAGTTGATATGACAGGAATAGAGCTCCAAGCTGCGCAGGCACGGAGCATTCTCCATAGAAGGATAGACGTAGTTAGGGAAGACCGAGAGGCTGGACAAAATTAGCACCTCCAAAATATCCGGGGACCCTGATAAAAATGGGGAAAGGAGATCGCCCAGATCGCGGAACCGATCCAAAAGGTTGATGCAAAGATATCGGATGTGACGGATATGGGAGAGGGCAAGTCGCACAGAAGTTACGAAGGCCTGATCAGCCAGGTTCAGATCCTTTATTGGGACGTTGACGGTCAGAGGTGCAGTGCTGGCGCGTTCGAGCATGACGGCGGTCCACTCGGGCGGATGAAACAGGATGTTGTCCACAAGAGAGGGCATTGAAGTGCGGAATAACGCCAGGCCCTGCATACGTGGCTGAGGGGAAGGCAGGTTGGGGGACGTGGGAAGACTTGGTGGTGTGGACTCGGAGCTCGGAGTGGTGGATGAGGAGGATGAAAATGTCGGTGAGCAGAATGTGTGGAAGACGAGAGACGGGGACAAGGGAATTGCGATATGACTTGAGGGATTGGACACGACGGGGATCTGTCGAGGAGCGTAACTGGCGGTCGATGTCGTCGAGTAGTGAGGAGTGCATGGGTGGCGCGCCCGAGTCACGCGCGGGGCGGGACTGCCACAATCAAATGGCTGTGAACAACTCGGCGTCGTTGGCACAACTTGGCGTCACTCACTGATCCGGCCCCGGAATTTCACCTCTTGCCCCAATACGTGGCATCCTCTCTCTAGGCCTTGCTGCCGCACTTAACGTCCATCACGACCAAGTGACGAGTGCAACCATCCATTCCATGGACACTTTGTTCGGCAGGAAGAAGTCCCGCCCGCGCCAGTCCTCAGTGTCTGTCCAGGACCTACGCTCTGTTCCATACGACAGGGTCCCTGCAGGCCCCCCCATTCCTGTCAGTCGTCCCACGACAGCTTCTAGTATTTCTGCGCCAATCACGAACCCCACTCTTACCGCCAACGGCACCGATCTCAACGTTCATGCCATACAACGCTCCAGAACCGAACGAGAGCGTGCGTACGCGGCGAGCAGCGCCGCCACTGCGCGTTCGAGTTCCCCACATGCTTCATTGGTGACGGACGACTCGTCCACTCTCTACAGCGAGTCTGCCGACTCCGTCTCCAATCCGCCCCCATCAGCGACAGCGACTGTCCGCAAACTTCGCCAGAGCGGAAGCTCGTCGGGTCGGCGAAGCCCCTCCAATCACGACTCCATTCATACCCTTCCCCCTATTCCCGCTACCCCATCTTCCCCTCCCCCATCCTCCACTTCGGCAACATTGCGTCCCATGTCCTCTTCGACCGCCCGTTCCGACAATCGTTCTTCCCGGTACACGTTCCAAAGCGAGTCGGGTTCCTCCCACAGCTACCACCACTTTTCGCATCTCCACAGACATGGAACTGTGGACGATTTCAACTTTCCCAGGCCAGATGACGATGCAGAGATCGAGGCTCTCTTCGAAAATGTCGTAAGAACGCGCGACTTGACCAACCTGCCGCCTCTCACAATCGAACAAAAATGGAACATGGTAGAAATGGACGAGCGATTGCGATGGAAAGACGAAAAGGCGAGAGAAGAACAGGCCAAGAAGGTTCCAGAGCAGAGCCGCACCGGAATGATCGAGGAAAGGTCTCCTGAGTGGTACCTAAGGAAGTTCGTGGAGAGATCCATCACTCCGAAGGACGCTTCAGGTCTTCTCGTTTCGTTGAGAGGCCAAGAAGTGGGGTGCGTTTTACGCCATTTCCTACTCTCCTTGCGCAAACTAATGAACTTTGTCGATCGACGACAGATGGTTCCAACAGTTCATTGCCATACAAGGCACGCGCGTGCTCACACAATATCTCTCGTACATTAGCCGCAGGGGAGGGCAGAGGTTTGTCCTGTTATTCTATCGTCTCTTTACCCCGCTCAACGGTCCTCAAGGACGGAAACCGACCATCAGCTAGAATACGAGATCATTCGTTGCGTCAAGCAGATCCTCAATTCTTGGGTATGTCCTGGAGTTTGATGCTAAACGTTGCTTGATTGTCTTGCTCCAGCCCGCTACGCAGGATGCTCTTACTCACAACCTCCTCGTCACTCAAATTGCGTCTTCTCTGAACTCGCCTCGTTTGGCTACTAGAAAACTTGTGGTTGAAGTCCTGACTTTCTTGGCCTATCGTGTCCCCGAGGCACTAAATCTTGTCACTGGGGCTCTGGAAACCGTCAGCATCACAAACAATACTGGCACCTCTCCGTATGCGTATTGGTTCGCGAGTTTCGAAAGGTCTATCTCGGGGCGCGGCAAAATGGGTAGCCTGGTTGGCGCAAGTGAGGAGGTTCGAAAGAATGCCGCCACCGAAAGCAACATCAACGATTACGCGGTGCGTGTTCTCTGGGTTTAATAGCGTCATTCTCTCCCTCATTTACTTGAATCGCAGCTAAGCAACCTCTTCCTTATCAATGCCATTCTCGACAATTCGGAGGACCTGGATCTTCGCATCCATCATCACAGCCAGATGGCTGCCTCTGGCTTGCGTCGTATAGTAGAGCTATGTCGCAGCTTCAACTCGGAGCAAATCAACACGCAGCTGGACAAGCTACAAGAAACGATCGAAGCCGACGAGAAGGACTTACGCGAGCGTCTGGACCAAGAAATCCTCAGAGATATGACTAACATCGAGGACGTCTACGCCGCACTCAAATCTCAGACGCATAATACAAAGGCTCATGACCACCTCCTCTCCATTCTACAGCACCTCTTACTCATACGAGAGGATGGCCCTGGGGCAGTGCAGTACTATCAGTTACTAGACTCTCTGGTCACCGATGTCGTCATGGACCATAAGCTTGCTGGTGCGGAACAGCGACTTGGGAAATCGGTGGAGAGCATCATTTCCCAGTTTAATGACGCGGAACAGTTCCGAGTTTTGGAAGCCGAGGCTTCTAAAATGCGTGCAGACCTTCGTCGTGTTCAACTCGAGAAGGACGTACTCGAAAGTGAGATGGTAAATGGCGGTGATGGCCTTGTTGGTATTCTCAAAGGTAAGATCGCTAGCCTGGAAGAGAAGCTCCAAATCTTGCGCGAGACCACCGCTCGGTTGCAAACGCAGTTGGAGACACAGAAGTCGGGTTACGAGGAACAAATCACACAGCTTGAAGCACAGATCATGGAATTGTTCCGGATGCTCAAGGAGCTGGGCGCGGACGGTGTGGGTAAGATCCTGGACAGCAGCAGCGCCATGGACCGCAAGACTCTCATTGCCACATTGGAGAAACACATGCAGAGGAGCAAGACCATCGACATTCTCGAGGGCCGCGATAGGATTTCTGTGCATCGGAGGAAGAGCAAAGAGGGTCAAGATGATGCTGAGGGCGAATCTGATGATCCGGATGCGACTCCTCGAAAGTCAAGACTTAGTC